CTAAGAAGCCGGTTCCTTTTTTGCTATTATTGGCAAATCTTGCCTTTGTTTATTCTGGTGCCAGTGTTTCTGCTTAATTGTTTGCTTTGTTGGCATCTTGAGTTTACTTGTATGCCACGTGCCATTTACATCTTCCTTAAACTACTCTTTCCCAGGTAATTTCCAAATATGATACTGGACAGCCAGCTAAGGAGGGTCCTCTCATCTCACCTCTTTGATAGTCAGTATATTCAGCAAACATTTATTGAGCCCTTATTGTGGGCAAAACATTGTACTGGGTAATTGGGGAGAAAAGTAGATAATTCATTTATTCAATAAATGTCTACTGAGCACAATCTAGTGAAATCATTACAGTATAGCTTCATTGTTTTGTTTGAGGTGTATTCATAACTATCTTACACCATTCATATCCTAATGTAATTGTAAAACCCAGTATGCTATCAAAAGATAAGTAATTTTGTGGTTATATGCCATTTTAAAGTATCCAGTATTTCTGTTTGCATCCCATTGATAAAAATAATGAGAAAAATGATTTGTTTTAATCTGTAATAAACTGATTTGTTGTGCAGTGACTGTGATATACTAGAGTTATATTGTTAACTCTGCCTCCTCAAACCCCATATTAGGAAATCCCAAAATAAGTATTTAACTTTGCATTAGATACAAAGGAGAGACTCTGGGTGCTAAAATTAGATTTTGAGGCAGACAGCTGTTACCCACCTGATTTAGTATGTTCTGTAATTGAGAAAATGTTCACCAAATTTAATTTTTAGTGATTTACATGTACATTTTATAGGGGACATGTTCTGTGTATAGTGAATAAATAACTTTTTTAGTATCACAAAATGTTTTGGATTCCTTAGTTCCTTATTTTAGGATATGAAGTTTGTTTACCTATACATTGATTCCATCACTCGCTAACATTTGATTTTCATCATATTCTTGCCACATATTTAAAACTTTTCATGTGAAGTTTTTTTCCTCTAAAACCCCAGAAATGGACCTTAACCCTTTCATTTAGAAAGATTTTGAAGATACAGCAGGATACATATAACTAAGGGAAGCATGAAATGGAAGTGGAGGTATTATTACGCCCATTTTAATTTAAAAGAATTTTAACTTGCCCCCAGATCACGAAGCAAGTAAATGGCAGGATCCTAGATTTGTTTTGTTTTAATTTGGTTCATCTTGTAATCAAATGGGGTAAGTTTTTTATAGCTTTATTTTCATGGAGACAATAAAATTGATAGAATGGAATCTATAGAGTTCATTTAGACTGAAGAGGACTAGATTTAGTTAAAAGTATTTTTTCAACACCTTTATGTACTTACCAGAATTAGGGCTTTTGAAGCGGTTTTTAAAGGCCAGGGGTTCCATATATTTTAAAAACTCTTACACCTTTCATAGATGTTTTGCCTCCTTCCCTCATTTCCTTTTGAATCAAGGTTAAAATTAGTTCAAGAAGGGGAGAATAGGATATTCAGCTGAGATTTTCTTATTTAAAAAATTACTGGTGAATACTTTATTAGCCCTCTGGTTCTATTTTTGCTGGAAGATATCTTTTAAATTAAAAAATAAGGCCAGTGTGGCTTTGGCAGCTGTTGAATTAGAATGAGATACTTTATCTTCTGTGCTTTTAATTTATGCCGTATTACTAAGCACTGAACAAGCTGTATGCTTTTTTTTTTCTTTAATGCTAAACGAAGAAAAGTACTATTCCCATTTTATAGATCAGAACATTGTCATGCCGACACTGTTTCACTCTTTCCAGCCTGTAAGATAATTGGTAACTTCTGGGTGGGAAACCTTAAGAGATCAACTGTAATCTGAGATGTCACAGCTACTGTGACTCACTCTTTGAAGCCTGCTTTTCCAAAATTGTCTCTTTGAACATGTTCTTTACCATATCCTGAGGTGTATTTTGTAATGGGAGAGGCTGTTACTTGAGACGGCACAGCATCAGTTCTGGAATAATCTAATGTGTTTTACCTTCAGAGCTTTTAGGACTCCTGGAGGTAAATTGATCTCATTTTATATAGTGAAAAGTTAATAAATAGGAAGGAAGTAACCTATTTGTCTTCAGTTACTGACATCCACAGACGTCCTCTTACCACTATGGAAAAGTTCCTTCTCGGGTTTTTCTTCTTCTGCCCCTTCTTCCAATAGTGTTGGTCTTGTTTATTGAGTTGTTGCTATGTATTAATTTGTTTCACCCATGTATTAAAGATTGGGCTTCTTCATGTGGAATAAAAAATGAGGCATGTAAATTCATTTCATTGAGAGTTGACAGGTTTGTAAAGAATGCTTTTATGCCTAGATTTTTTCAGATCATATGCTGGAAAGAGAAACACTGGTCAAGGAGTCCTGGTGGCACAGTGGTTAAGCACTTGGGTGTGAACGCAGAGGTCTGCTGTTCAAATTTACCAGCCACTGCATGGAGGAAAGATACAGTAATCTTCCTTAAAGATACACAGCCTTGGAAACAATGGTAGCAGTTTACACTAGGGTGGCTATGAGTTGAAATCAGTGACTTGGGTTAAATTTTGTAAATTTAGCTCTTTTTTTGTAAGCTTGTGACTGAGTACACATTTTAAGTGTGTTGTACTCTGTCCTTGTGTTACAAAGTAATTGCCTATGAAAACAACTAATTCCAGTAGAAATTTAGAACTTATCAAAACGCTTAATGTTTTTTTTTTTCCCATCTCATGCTTGTTTTTGGGAAAGTAGCTTGTTGGGATTTATATAAAGATAGGTTAAGGACTCGGCTCCAGCTACCATGTTAGGTTTTTTCCATCTTATTTTGGTTTTCACAAGAACGCCGATTGGGGAAATTCCTGTCACTGTACTTCCTGTAGGCTAACCACAATTTTTTACTCAAGGTTACTCAAGCCAGTAAGGTTTTTTAAATTAAAAGCTTTTTGCACCCTCACTCTCCATTCTCTTAGCACTTTGATTTGCTAGTTTGGCCTGAGTCGGTTATACAAACGAACAAAGATAATGAGGCTAAGAAATAGGCAATGTAGTGAAATTACACTGCGGAATAAAGATTTGGCAATCCTTGGAACTGTAATTATACTAGGAACCTAACAGGAAAACAGACCTAAATGTTGATTTACCTTAACTCTCAATCTTTTTTTAGTTTACCTAAAAAAAAAAAAATAGCTCCTTGCCTCAGGATCTGTCCTCTAGAACTAGTTCGCACTACCCTGTCATTTGGGAATCTATCAATTAGAAAGCAGGTGTGGTTCTTTCCAGTTAAATTCTTTTGTGCTATTTTTTTCCCCATAAACTTAGATCTTAAAAATGTAGACAGAGGAAAGGCATGATTAAACCAGCTTTTTGAAGTTTCCCAAGTATTCTATGTCCGTTTTATGGGGGATAGACAGAAGTTATCAAGTAACTGTTTTAATTGCTTAGGTGTTACTCTAGTCCTAGTATCGTAGACATCAACCAGCAAATTAGTTGCCTTTTTCAAACTAGCAGTCCCATTGTATTTCAGTAATATGCGGTTCCTAAGATTAAACATTAGGCAGTCGCAGCACTTAATTTTCTAAATGAAAACCAACCAACCACTGGGGAGAAAATGATTTTATTTTTAATTTCATGCTTCAAATGCATATTGTACTTTCAAGTAGTACATAAATTTGTCTTTAGGATAGCAGTATTTGATTTGGACAATATTTTATCTGGATTTATTTGGAGAGAGACAACTTAAGCCATTCTGCTCATGAACATCAAAAGCACTGCCAAAATAGAAAATAGGGCTCTTTTGCCATCAGAATTCATAATTAACCTCCCACCACCATTTTTTCTTTTAACTTTTACTGGGTTATTATTTAGCATTTACCTTTAAGTCAGGTAAAACATGTTGTCAATCAAGGTATTATGGAAGAAATTATTTGCATAAATGGTCCCCCTGGGTTGCACTTACAACAAAAATATACTGGTATCGCAGTTACTAGTATCATATACACAATATACTAATACCAAAGGTTACAAGAATTGGTGGAAACCAAAATGAGTCATACAAGGTTGGAGGGACCCTTTAATAGTCTTTGGACTTAAGGAAAAAAATAGTCCTATACTGCATTTAACATCTCTTAAAAATAGCAAGTGTTATAGCAGCTTAAACCTTTTCTGTTGTAAAATTTCTTACAGTAGAATTTATTTTGAAATACAGTTAACAACCAAATCAATTATTACGTACATAACACTGGCACTTCAGCACAAGGGCAAACTTTAAAACAAACTATTTTGAACCTTTAAAATTAGGCCATAGTATAAAAGAACAGTCCATGGTCTTACATTCAGAAAATTCATACTAAAATAGTCTATTTTTATATGATAAAGGCCAAGAAAACTTTACATATGCTACAAGTTTATTACATATATTTACATGGCTCTTTCCTAGGTACTTAAAATGTTCACATTATATAGTCCCCCCACTTTCAGCAAACTTTGCAGGGATGATTTGAGGCCAGATCACTGTCAATAGCTTACACAGTGCTATAATACAAAAAACGTATTTTGTAAGCTATTCAGTGACCACCAAATACTGTCTCTATAAAAAAATAGTTTTGGTGCATTTGTCGGCAGACACCTATCTACTGCATGTAAGAAACAGGGCCATTAGGGTGTATCTTGGCTCATTTTAGTTCCCTAGTGTCCTTTCCACATTCACCACTATACAATTACTAAAATGCAACTACTAAGAAAAATTTGTATTTTCTTTTGGCAGTACATCAGGCGTATTAACTGGTCAAGTGTCTGTAAGACAAACTTTCAAATGTTCAACTAATTTCTCAATTTCTCTGTCTTGGCTAGATGCTTATAATCTAATTCACTAGTTTGCAGCAAGTAAATCTGTTAAGATAATCTTAAATTAGTATTTTCCCCAACAAATAGAAAAAGTTGATTCCTTTACCACTCCCCAAATCTAAACTAGAACAGTGCCACTCAAGTTAGTCAAAATTATCAAGTAAATATTAGTATTTAGTAATTTTAAGTTGCACTGACATGATTATATCACAGTGCACATATGAAGCAAGGAGTCTAATATTTTCTACATTAATTAGCAGTTTTACACACATTCCCTAGTGAATTTGTTTTAGACCCACTGACTATTCTTTAAGATGATACCTAAATTTAAACATTGGTACTTATCTTATTTTATACCTGTACTTTAAGTAAGGTTTTAAGTTGAAATGTCATTGTTTCTTTATCAGAAGGATTAAAGGAAACGGGAACCCAATGGCTTGGTGGTTTTGGAAGAACACTTGGTGATGGTGGCTCACTAAATTTGGCTCCAGCATAGTTATGATTAGTCTGAGACTTAAAAAGTAAGCTGGGGCTTGATAAGCTAGAGTTCCAATTTTGATTATTTGGAAAATGTACTTTGTTCTTCCCCCCATTTTGCATGGCCTGCCATGCAACTGCTGATGAATTATAACCATGTCCTCTTTCTTTTTTCTTATGAACAATCTTCATCTGGGAATTCTGATCCTTGGTCTTCTTCTGTCTATTAAGCTGCTGTTGGTTCTTACTAACATTTCTAGATTGGGGAACTGGAATGTTATACCTCTCTCCACCACCCATCTTCAGCTTCTTTGTCACCTGTAAGTGAATGGAAAACAAAACATTGTTTCAAAGTCCAGAAAGAAAAGTTTGAAATTATCTTTGAAAAGCTTCTATAGTCTCAAATTGTACTCCAGAAGTTTTGGGGAAAACTCAATTGGCTATTCAAGTATTTTTAACTAAAAATAAAGCACGCTGTCACACTGTGTTATATGCAAAACATTTCTTTCTTACTCAAAAAAAAAAACTCACCCACAAATCTGAACAATCCTCTATTTAAAAATGAAAAGTGGTTCAGGATTTGAGCCCATCATAAAATGTTTGGCCAATAAAATTCCCCATTACAATGTGAATCTGTATACCTTTCAGTCTGCTTTTCCGATTGCAGGATTTCCACTACCTGTCGTCTTCCTTGTTGCCAAGCCCAGGATAATAGGTGTTGCTTTCTGACCAATCCTCTCCTTTGTCTGAGTACAGAAGTTTTCATGGGCCGATCTGCTGAGTTCAGCCTGGGAGCTGAGGCCAACATCTGAGTCTCCTCAGCACACAAGTTTGAGAGAAGTCCTAGCTAGAAAAGTAAAACATTACTTCTAATTCAAGAAAGGGAGAAAGTGATCATTTACATTAACAACAGAAATAATTCATTACTAAGAATGGCTACTTCCTGAACTAAAGGTAGGAAATGTCTCCTGAAGATGGCTCTTTGGCCTTCTAACTACCATGATTTAAAAACTCCTTTTATCCGAATCAAGAAATCCAGAAACTCTTGAATCAGTTTTGGAATCTACAGGTTTTGTCATCTTATTCCTGGGAAGTACCTTTCAGAATTTCATACGGAATTTTTAACCAGAAATGTTAGTCAAACTAAAGAAGCGTTAATTTTAAGAGTCATGCCAAGAAACTGGGTTAAAATTTCTATGCAGACACTACACCATGTTTTTAAAATCCCAGCATACTTTTCTAATCTCGACATACCACACACAAAGCCGCCTCTCCTACCATGTTTGTATCATGCAAACTATTTCATTTGGTTAGGAACACTCGCCTTCTCAGTTTTAAAGTAACTTTTCACAAGCCGTAACAACCTAAACCATCTTAATCCCTTAAATAGGTAAGATTCCAGTTACTACGTAATATTCAAGGTTTCATTCTCATTCTCTTTGACATTCCAAGAAACCCAGTAGCTAGTAAACGCGCCCTTACTTTTAAAAAGGATAAGAGGGGTTTCCAGACTTTTTTAGTAAACTGAAATAAATTACGCATTCCCCGGCTTCGGGTCATTCACAACTCGAACCCGGAAAACTCGCCTCTGAACACGCGAGGCTTGGCTTCAGCTCTCATGAGCCCCTGTCAGGGAACCTGGTCCTCCCCGGCCCCCGCCCCCCGCCCCGCGTTCCTGAGCTTGCTTTCGCTCTCCTTCCCCCAACAATGGGGAGTGCGGCCACTAACATGGCCGCGCCCGCGGCGCTGCCACCACTCACCGACTTCAAGCTCGGAACTAAGCAGCGACGCCTCCTGCCCGAAGTAGAAGCCTCCCTCCCCTTCCAGGGAGAGATGAGGCACGGAACCAACAAAGTTCAAGAGCACCGAGGAGGCAGCCACTGACCACCCCAACGTCTCAGATCTGACTTCCTCCTCCTGCTTCTACCAACAAAATGGAGATGGCGACAAGCGCAGAAGCGGAGCCGGGAGCCACCGCGGCCAATGACAACACGAAGGCGCGGGGCCGGGCCAATGAGAAGCGGGCCGCCGCCTGTTGCTGGGGCAGAACGGGGGAGAGGGAGGGGAGGTGGTTGTTGCCAAGGTTTTGAAATCCTCCGGGAGAGGAGCATGTCGGGAATAACTGCTGCGGGCAGAGGCGGCTCTCTGTCCCTTCCCGCCGCTGTCTCTGGTGACCGGACTCTTTGGCCCCAGGCGGCCTTTGTAATGCCTCCCTGTGTGGACGAGCGTCTCCCTCGCTTCTGCAAAGGCCCCCTTCGCTGATGCTGACTTCATTTGAGGCGTCCGACAGCTTGCTCCGTAAACCCTAGGACACAGCCGACTCTGCCCTCCTTCCCCTATTGCAAATGCGAGCCCCTTGCGGCACCTCCGGCGCCACCTGAAAAGGAACGTCAGCCGGCCACCGGGAAGCTGCTTCAACCCGGGTTTATCAGCTTCGAGCCACCGCGGCCCTCAGAATTAGAGTTTTAGACCCCTATGGGAAGTACGAGGAGCTCTGGTAGCATAGTGCCTAAGGCACTTGACTGCTACCCAGAAGGCTGGCGGTTCAAACCTACCAGCCACTCCTCGGAAGGAAGGTTGGGGAATCTACATCCGCAGTGATATCGCCTCGGAAACCCAAGTAGGGGTCGCTATGAGTTGCGGCCCACTCGAGGGCACATAACAACAACAACACATGGGAAGTACGAGGAGCTCTGGTGGCATACTGGTTAACGCATTTCGCTGCTAATGAAAAGAGCCGTGTTTCTTTCCAACCCACGAGCTGCTCCGCGAGTGAAAGATGAGGCAGTCTGCTTCCATCAAGATTTAAGCCTTGGAAACGTTATGGAGCTAGTTTTACTCTGCCCCATAGGGTCACTATGAGCCGGAATCGATGGCAGTGGGTGTGTTTTATGGAGAAATACTAAAGGGTAAACGTTAGATTGAGTCATGTAACATGTAATTTATATATAGAAGCCACTCAAAAAAGTTGCTTTCCATGGCCTGCCTTCTGCCCACCTGTCCAGACTGCTTTTGACAAGCCATTTGTTCTATTACCAGTTACGAAACTTCTTTTCTCATTCCCAAAGCATTCTGTTCCTCATATGGTTCCTTCCTGTCCGCCCCACCCCATTCTGACCCTCAACCCAATTATTCTAAAGTTACCTCCTTTGTGAAGGCGTTTCTCACACCTGGCTCAAGTTAGTAACTTCCTCCTTTGCCCTCTCTGGTCCTTAACTTCAATTAGTGCCTTTTATCGCATCCTGTACATCCTGGACGGCAAAGCTAGGTTTTATTTTCCTGAGCACAGTACCTTGCACATTTTAAGTGCACAGTAAAAGTTGGTTGAGAGAATGAATGAATAAGAGCACCCTTATTTCCTTCTGTCCCATTTGTAAGTAGAGAAAAAACTATCCATCGTTCAGTTGAGTATGATAGGTGAAGGGAAGAGGAAAAAGAGCTACTTTTTTAGAGTAAATGTATATTTAACCCAAAGTGAGTTTTAAAATAGAACACTAATTTCCACTTAAATGAGTAATTCTGGGGTAAATGGTCCAAAACCAGTGTCATTACTTTACACTCATTATAGGCTTTATATGTATTGACTTTTTATAAATCCCACATAATTCGCTTTTCAGTCCAGTTTTTTCACTACAATCACCTCCCACCCCCAATCCAACTCAAATGTCTATGTTCTAGCCATGGATCTTAAGAAAAACTACTGTATCTTAAAGGAGCACTTCTAGGTCAAATTAATTTGATAAAATATATAAAAGATTTTTGAGCACGGGGACTTTCTGGTGCTAATTATAGTCAAATAACATGTACAAGGTAAGCCAACTGCTAGCTTACTGAAAGTGTAATGTAATTCCCCAAAATTCAAGAAGCTGACTGAACCTCCAACCAGATAAATAGCCATGCCACTCCTCTGAAGGAAGGTTGGGCAATCTACTTCCGTAGAGATACCAACTTGGAAACCCAAGGAGAGGTAGCTATGAGTCCAATCGGCTTTATGGCTGTGAGTTTTTAGGGTTTTTTGGGGGGAGGTTGGTATGTTTAATAGGTTCAGGAAAAGGCCTCAGAATAGATGTATTTTTTCTTTTTAATATACTGGTGTGTAGAGGGAACATTCTGGTTTCAGTCCGAGTCCACTCCCACCCCTCCCTCCTTCCTCTCTGTCCTCTATCCATCTCGTTGTGTTACTTTTTTTTTTTTTTTTTCCTTTTGAGCAACAAAGTCTTTATTAAAGAAAAATCAAACCCTGTGCACCACAGGCAACCAAAGTAGGTACTTGTGAAAATAACTAAATTGAAGACTGGGATATTATAAAGAATTTTATCTAGAACTTTCTTACCATCTGGTTCCCAGCTTGATATCATCCTGATATTTTAGTGTTCACTGTTGCTGCATCCATGGTAATCTGCAGAGATGATCCATTCTAAGCACACTTTTTTTTTTTTAACATTTTATTGTGATTTGAGTGAAAGTTTACAAAGCAAATTGGTTTTCCATTCAATTCATATACATTTTATTTCACGACATTGAATGTATTGCCCACAATGTAACAGCACACTTCCTCCCCAGGTTTCCCTGTTTCCATTTTTCCTTTCCTTTCCTTTCCTGCGTTCTGAAGGAGCTGTGGTGATATAGTGGTTAAGGTGTCTGGCTGCTAATGAAAAGGTTGATGGTTCAAACCCAACAGCTGCTCCACAGAAGAAAGATGAGGCAGTCTGCTTCCATAAAGATTTATAGCCTTGGAAACCCAATGGGGGTCACTATGAGTTGGCATCGACTCAATGGCAGTGAGTTTGGTTTGGTTTTTTTGTTTCCTGCTTTCTGAGCTTTTGTGGTGGTGGTGGTGGTGGTGTGCCATGGAGTCGGCCCCAACTCATAGCGACCCCTTCTTGGGTTGCTCTGGCAGTATCATCACTATGGAAGCAGATTGCCCAACCTTCCTTCCAAGGAGTGGCTGGTGGGTTTGAACCGCCAGCCTTCTGGTTAGCAGTCAAGTGCCTTAGGCACTATGTCACCAGAGCTCCTAAATGTTGCTAAGTGAGCAAAAATGTATTAAACAAGTTTCACAATCTAGATGGCATTTATGCATCTGGTAGCGTAGTGCCTAAGGTACTCGACTGCTAACCAGAATTCTGGCTGGGGGTTCAAACCCACTAGCTGTTTCTCAGAAAGAAGGTTGGGCAATCTACTTCCATAGTGATAGTGCCTCAGAAACCCAAGGAGGGGTCGCAATGAGTCGGATCCAACTCGATGGCAAATAACAACAACGACAACATAGCCACAAAGAACTGAAAGCTGCTAACAACCACATGCTACCTATGGATTCAATTGTTGTTGTTGTTATGTGCCGTAGAGTAAGACTGACTCATAGCGACCCCTCCTTGGGTTGCTGAGGCAGTATCACTCTTTCTTCTGAGGAGTGGCTGGTGGGTTTGAACCGCCAGCCTTCTGGTTAGCAGTCACGTGCCTTAGGCACTACACTAGCAGAGCTCCTTTCTGAGCTTTATCCCTGAGCAAATAAATATTGCCCTTTTGATCTTGAATGGTTGACTGTTGTAAGAAGTGCATACCCTCCTGGTTTTATTGTTCGCCTTTTAGGCCTCTTGTTTGGCTGAAAGTTGAGCCATGGGTATGAGGTGAGTTCTAAGCTTGAAGGGTGCCACAGTCTTGGGGGTTCCCCCAGTCTCTATCAGACAAGTAAAAAAAAAAAAAAGTCTTTTTATGATTTTGAGTTTTGTTCCACATTTTTCTCCCACTCTATCCATGACTTTCTATTGTGATCCCTTTCAGAGCAGTCAGTCATGGTAGCTAGGCACCATCTAGTTCTGGTCTCAGGGTCACAGAGGCTGAGGTTTGTGTGAGCATTAGTTCCTGGACTAATTGTTTCCATGTGTCTTTGATTTTCTTCACTCCTCTTTGCTTCAGATGAAGAGAGGCCAATTCTCATGCCTTAGATGGCTGCTCTTGTGTTACATTTTAAAAAAATACTTCAGTGGCTCTGAATTGTCTGAATAAAATCTAAAAACTAAATATTTAGAAAATTTTTCGAGACCATCACCATCTATAATTACTCTTTCACTTCGGTTGTCCACTGAATCTTATCTGAATAAACATACATGTATAATGTATTGGATATTTCCTGTGCCCCTCCCCCTATGCTGTTATTTTGCTTACATTTCATCTACTCCTCACAACCACCTTATATTAGATACTATTTTGATCTCCTCTGTACAGATGAAAAATCTGAGACTTAGTTTAAAGCTAAGAGCTGCACACTTAAGATTCCAGAGCGCAGGCTCTATGCTCCCTGCAGCTATTGTATTTGAGTCATTTCTGTGTCCTCCTGAGTGCCTGAAGTTGCTTTGCCCAAAGCATACACTGACTGACTGCTGCTGTGTTGCAGCTTGGACACTCCACCCTGCAGTCTGTCTGAACCAGATTCTGTGCCAGAAGGGCAGAGTGAGGCTGCCCTCCAGAGGGCGCTGTCAAAGTCTTTACCACATCACATACTCTCAGCACCATCTAAATATAGGCCCGGCCTCATCATTCATTTATATTTACCAAGTGCCTGCCATAGCTCAGAGCTGGAAAGCAGGAGTTAACATAATACCTCTTCAGAACATCTGATACAGCTTTTACCTGTCCCAAGCTGGTCTTTAAAGTCCTTTCGGCCAACACAATCCAATTAGTAGTTCTCAATTCAAATAGGAAAATGTTGATGCAAACAACATCAGGATACTGATCAGCCAACATACACAGGTGTTTAATACAAAACATGTATTTAATAAATGGTAGTTAGTCTGCCAAGCCCTGGGGACACAATGAATGAGGTTCCATCTAGGCCATAAAAAACGAACTGCCATCGAGTCGATTCCAAACTCATAGCAAAGTTCATTGGGTTTCTGAGGCGGTAAATCCTTATGGAAGTAGATTGCCC